GTCCGTCAAAGTTCCCAGTTTGTTTCTAGTCCCTTGAAATGCAAGAGACAGTGAACAAATTGGGGATAACATTTTTAATCTTAGTCTTTGCTTGTGTTTTGCATATGTGCTTTCGTTGTTTCTGTGGAATACTGACTGCACTGTCTTTAGCACAGGAATGTGTTCACTGGGACGCTTGGCAGGACAAGCCATGCTTTGCCAATTTGGCTGACCATCTGGTTTAGTGGCAACGGGGAAATGGAATGGCACTTCAAATAAGAAATCAGTGAAATAAGCAGCCTGACAGCACCAGGATACTTGGGACTGGGACCAGGGCAGGAAGTTTCTTCTGGTCTATGAGACCAGTCCGGAAACTAAAGTAATTGTGGTGAAACAGGCAGTGTATGGCAGAGGAAGAGGGAAGAGATGCAGCATGACGCTGCACAGATCCCTGAAGGCAAGGATAGAAGATTTCATCTGATACAGCAGAGCCGAGGTGGGGAGTGTGGGCAGCAGTGGTTAAGTGAGGAGGTGAAACACTGACAGTTTTTGGTAACTGCTCTGAACAAGCTAGTTCAGTTTTCAAGCAGTGACTGCTCATTGCCTTCCTGCTTCATAGAATCATAGAATAGTTAGGGTTGGAAAGGACCTTCAGATCATCCAGTTCCAATCCCCCTGCCATGGGCAGGGACACCTCACACTAGACCATGTTACCCAAGGCTCTGTCCAACCTGGCCTTGAACACTGCCAGGGATGGAGCATTCACAACCTCCCTGGGCAACCCATTCCAGTGCCTCACCACTCTTACAGGAAAGAATTTCCTTCTTATATCCAACCTAAACTTCCCCTGTTTAAGTTTTAACCTGTTACTGCTTGTTATCCAAATTTTATTTGTACCTATTTCTTGAGGATTAACACAATGTTAATATTCTGGGAGAAGTGGTAAATAACACAACTATGTGTGAGCACTGACTTAAGCACAAGCTAGATCAATTACAGTAGAGTGTTGATGCTAGCCAGAGACTGAAGTAGTAATTCTGGAGTGGATTTATGGCACAAACCTGATCAAACAGCCAAATCTACCAGCAGCAAAAAAACATTGCAGAGAATGAAAAATCTTCTTTTTGGAATATTGCTGAGAAATAAACAAAAAGTTAAAAACAAATAAAAATAGATGTCAAAGGGTGTGTTCTAAAAAAGTTATGCTGCTTTTACGTCACAGCATAAGCCATTCTCTTACTGCTTTTATCTATGTCTGAGAAAGTCTTAACTGAAGTAAGTCTGGAGTTGCCTTGATTGCCTAACTTGTGACATACCTTTAAATCTTACAGAGCAGCTGTTTTACTCTTTCATTGTGTTATAAAATTGTCCTATATTTTTCCATCTGGTAGTCATCTCTTTTTATAGTTGCAAATCCTTTTGGATAAATCATATGAACGTAAAGAAAACAGTACAGCAAGCTAAACCAGCCCAGCATGTTTTCAGCCAGAAATCAGAAGCTGTCAGTAAGATATGGAAGAAGGATGCTTAAGCTTCTGTTCAGCTATAAAAGACAAGAAGACTGTGAACTGTGTGAATATATAAATGGGAAATGAAAACCTCAGACCTACTGAGAGTAGATGAATCTGTTATTGTGAATTATTAGTAAGGTGTGCTCATTGGCGAGCTCCAGGTCCATATGGATTAGGAGCTATTTCCCAATTCAGACATACTCCACACATCTGATGAATACCCTGGCTTGTTGCATAGCAGCCTATTCTTATGCTTACATTTTTGCACTTTTACAGCTAGAAATGGTACATTTTAGGACAGCACATGCATTGGCAGTGACATCTATTTCTGGAGAAGAAACAGAACTACTCCATTAGCATTTCTGCTTATTTTTTCATTTCAGAGTGCTACTGTTCAGTGTTTCCAGAATAAGATAAAGATGTCTGTGCTAACCTCTACATATGCCACAGTTCTCAAGGTTTAATATGGTTTTCTGAGGATCTGTGGCTTCAAACCACTAAGGTTTTTTATGACATCACTAAGCACCTTTCATACTTGGCTGGTAATTTTGTTGCCCTCTGCTCATGATGCTGCATGGGTGTGATGACTCAATGATTCTGTGATGACAGTATTTTCAGAGGCCTTCTCAACTATGTGTTCATGACTTTTACCATTAGCTTGAGGCAGTTGATTGGTTAGCTTTGCTTTACTTACGTTAGAGATAATATATTTATTACTTTTCCTCCAGAAAGTTTTTTGCACTAGATTTGAACAGAAAGAAAAAAGACAGAACTGTTTGGCTTGTAGAAATCCTACATCACCCTTTTTGTGTGCACCACTGCTGCAATTACAATTACTAAGATGTGATGAATTTTGAAACTTGTGGCTTCACCTGAAAGGGAGCTCAGAATTAAATCTATACTAAGCTGCAAGATCACTCCCTACCCCACAAAAATGTTGGACCTTCTGGTCCAATACAGAAAACTGCAGTAATCGACATAAACCATCATGAGTGAACATGTGGTTACAGATTGTGAAGATGGTGGTACAGGAGTCCTCTTAACTTACATTAATTATGAAGGTAAGTAAAATGAGCATTTGAAACATCCACTAATCTGCTAGAAAGGGGATGTAAAACCTCTACATCATTTTTGTCCTTCAGAAGTCTTTGGATTATTAGCAGTTATTCATGTTTCTATCTTGTCTGCTTTTTAATGATGAACATGTGGCTATATGTTTACACTCAGGGTCTATGTTGATCAAGTGCTCTTTTAATGAAGATAAATGTTACTTAAGTGCCAACACAAAATAAATAACCTCCTTAGTCCTTGCACAAGTACACCTGCATGAAGGTTACCCACCCTAGAGCCACAGGAATAGTTCTGCCAGATTTGGAGCAAAGTGTAGCTCCATTGGAGGTTATTTCTGTTGCTCTTTGGTTTCTAGTGCATTTGCTTTATTCTTGCAGTGCTAGTGTTATTTGAAGTTACTACGGCAACCTGTCACCATCTGCTATTAGAAAGTATGCTGGGATTTAGTTGCTAGGTGTTGAAGTCTGTCATCTTACTCATATAACCCTAATGTTTTCAGATATTTCTTTTCCTGTTCATATTGCACCCACAGCTAATATGTGCTCTAACAGTGCAAATCATTCCACATTCTTTCTGCCTGACCTTAGGAAGCTCTATTTGTTTTGCACAATACATGTCTGATCCTTTAGATGTACTTTGTATAGACCCAACCGAAGCAGCATTTCTTTTACCTAAGCCACTCTTTTGCAGTGTTTATACTGGAGCCAGCATTAGAGGTCATTTAAGTTTGATTTTAATTATGCTTCTTTTAAGTGGGTGGGGAATTTGAGTGCTTCCTGACACATTTTCTCCTCTGACTGTCATTTGATTACCTGTTTCCTCATGTTCCTGCTCCTGATCAAGCGCAATGTTCAGACTATTGATTCCTTATTTCTTCACACATTTTATGAAGGGCCATCAGCCAATTGGCTAATTAAAAATTAGAATTCAGTGCTGTTTCCACTCCAGGTTCTTTTACGTTTCAATGGAATGTTTTAAGGCTGGAAAACGTGTTTTATTAAATCTCCTTGTAGCAGTGCAGTGTGGTCAGAATTATTTCTGTTAATTTTCCTGTGAGTGTTGTCTCATTAGTCAACTTTGTACTTGGATACGTTTACCTTTTTTATACGTTTGATCTAATTCCAATCAACATTTCCTGCTGTAATTCACAGGATAAATCCTAACAGGCTGAAGCACAGCTGAAGAGACTTACTTATTAGGATTCTTTCTGAAGAAGTTCACCTTCTCTGCCACAGCCTTTTTTATACTGTTCCATCCCTACATACAATGCTTGACTTAATGAAATGAAGGTTTGAATTTTAAGCATTAGACTTGTATTTGTAAGTGGTGTTTGATTCTGAAGTTCCTCTGGCCATCCAGTGAAGATGCAGCCTGCATGCAGAGTGCAATAAATTGTTCTCATGCAAAACTTACTGTGTTTTCAAGCAGTTCATGCTCTTTGCACGTTCCAGTAAGAGGTATTTATACACCATAGGAGAATTTAAGTGACTATATAACGATATCTGCAGATTTCATCACAGCTCTTTATAGTCCTATATTACACTTAAGTTCTAGCAGTGAGAATGGTAATGCTGAGGCTGCCGAAGTGCCTCAGAGATCTGAAGCTGCATCTGAGAAACGAGTCTTTATTGCTGGCATTGGGGGATTAGGAGGGAGGGGCAAGCTTTTAACCTATAAACCAGCTTGCAATTCATTTCTGATAGTGGAGATTGCTGGCAGATAATTATCAAAGATCAGACAGTATTTGTGTATTTTGCTGCTTTACAGCTACATGGAAATGATGGAGGAAGTTTTTGTAGCAAGCAAGCTTTACTGTCACCTTTTTATCTATCGTTCAGTCCCACCGATGTGAATTTGAGAGGCTGGGTGTGAGGTACTGGCACCAATATCTGATCTTTGCTTACAGCTCTTTTCAGTAATCAAGGCATATCATCTGTTAATTTTAAAATCACCATACACAGGTCCTAAGAACAGGCACTAGTGCTGTACCAGAATCACACACATAGCCAGACACATCTTGGAAGTTGGTTTTGACAGAAGAAATAACCTTCTTCAAGTCTGTGTGCCTTTAAGTGTCATAATACATCTGTTTAATGCTTGGGAAGAAATGCTGCTTTTTGCAAGAAGTGTCTGTCTAACACGGGTCTGGAAAGGCATTCGGTGCTGAACGTTCAGCTACTGGAAATAGGAGCTTTCTGCATGTGCAGTTCTCTAACTTCTGTCAGCAATCTTTTTTCAAAATCAAGACATCAGATGGCAACCCCTCCCCAAATTCATTACTGAATGCTTTGCAATTCATTATTACTTTCAGCTACACATTTAACATCCCAGAAAGGATTTCTTTTCTGATCCATAACTGTAGAAGTGAAGTACTACAGCAGGAAAACCAGCATTTCTTTTTAGAAGAGCATCAGTACCCGAGAAGACACGGTTCCTTACCTGACAGCTTTTGGTTTACCTGCCGAAAATGTGTCTTCTTAGGCTTAAAAAGTAGACAAGCTTCTCAGTAGCACTAACGTGACTCCAAAAGAAGGCAGCATAGCTCCTTTAGGTTGTAATTTTCAGTGTTTCTAAGCAAGAAGTGCTGGGTCTGCTCACGTAGGAATAAATAAGTAGAAACCGGCGGCACAAAGTGCACGGCTGCTCCATGTGGAGGGGAAAGACCCCTAGTGGCCACAGCCTGAAGCTGAGGGACGCTTCCCTGCCCTGAGCTGGGACAAAATGGTTGGGTGCGAGAGACTGCAGCTTCTGCCTCGGCGGCGATGGGTGCCTTCCAGATGTGACGGGACTACAGAGGGGATCGGAGCTCAATAGAGAATCTGGCCAGCCCCGGCTGGACGGGAAATTCTGCTCAGAGTGAATTCCAGCGCGTCCCTTGTATCCATTCTAAACCGGTCCCGTGAAAAAGTCCAAGTACATCCAGACAATTATTTTCAATGTTTGTCTACTTCTAAGTCTCTTCTTTAAAGAAAATCTGAGGAGTTAAAGCAGCTTCACTTTAAAAACGATGATTGAAACTTCAGCAAATGCAAAGGCATCGATAGGGAGGATTCTTCACTATCTTAAAGGAGAACTGCAAATCACTCACTGTTATTGCCAGAGAGATCGATGTCTTTGTGACTTCCAGTAAATCACAGTGAAAAGGCAGGATTATAAATCATTTCTGTCTTCCAGCATTGAGGAAATATTTTTCAGGAATTGAGAAAAAAGAAAATATTTCCTTTTAAGGAAGTTTGGAAGGAGTTGACGGAGGAAGGTGACAGAATTGTACAGAAGTTTCCCAGAGTGCAGAAATAGCTGCTGAAATGACTGCAGAGTGTAAAAACATACGCTTTCTTACAATATTTCTTCCTGTGAACAGCCCATATTCCTAGAATGATCAGCAAATATTTGGGCTAATATATTTTCTTCCCATAAATTCCTAATGGAAGAATTCTGGCATCACGTGCCTTTTAGAAATCTTAAGGTAATACGGAGTTGTGCTTTGTATCCGGAGTTCTTGTCACAGTGTGTGTTTCCATGGGGCATTACATAAACAAGGCAACTTTCTCACCAGAGCCTATCCCTTGCCAGGGCAGCTTTTGAATTACCCTTTTCAAGTTAGTAAGATGTTTCTTTCATCTGGGCTTACAAAAGCTTGACCATTATTGTATTTTACACACATAAAAGGGTGTACCAGGCATTTAGAGTAGTTTGGCTTTAGAAAGAGCACGACCCAGTATCTGAAGCTATCTGCATGTGTTGATTTCTGTCTCGTTTTCTTTCAGAGTCATTTTGTGGCATGCATGACAGCAATCTTAAACCAGATGAGCAACCAGCATTATTCAGTTTACATTGAAACTTTTCAGACAAGTTCCGAACTAGTGGTGAGTACAAAATAGCCACGGGGGATGAGAAATAATCCCCCCCAAAATTTCCTGTGAAAAATCTGTAGTATTGTTTTGGAGTATCTTGTCTGATTCTTCCTCGAATTAAGTCTGTGTCTGTACAATTTCCACCTCTATGTCATTGTAATGGTGAGCTTGGCCAATACAGTAGTCAGAGACATAAATGCCACAGTTGTACCCTAGTACCAAGGTAATAATCAAGAATACGTAATGGAATCTTTGAGTTATACTGTTCTGAAGAGGGGAAAAACCCAGCCCCTCCCCCAAACCCACAAAACAACAAGCAACAAAAGCAACCCTCAACTAACTGAATCCCCCCTCCCCACGTCACCCGAGGCGAGTGGTGTCCACTTTTCATTTCCACCATTGAGTCTACTCCTGGTCCAGATAATGTTCTAAGCTAAATGCAGTGAATGCCTTATTCTTGCAACACATTATTTTATGCCAGCTGTTTCTGGCATAGTTTACCAATATTTGGGGTATATTCTCGTTTGTACCAGTAGTCACTGCATTCTAGAAGATTTCAGTAGTCCCATATCTGTCCTTTAACACTCCTGATATAACTCTTAAATAAGTCTGTGTGTTGGCAAGGGGTTTGATCACACCACCTGCAGTTTGCCCATGGAGGTAATATTTTCAGTTGGCAAGATTTATTCATTTTCCTTTCTTTCTTAAAGTCAGAGTGGTGCCATAACTGCAGTGCTCACAGATCAGATCTTAGGCAGCATTTGCAATTCTTCATGTGCTTTAGTTTATTTGAAAACCTAACACTACTGTAATATAATTTCAGCTTCCAAGCAGCTTGGCTACTTGGTCCTGGAAGTTCTGGTAACCCTTGAACTACTTCCAAGAGCTCTGCAGAGGGAGGGGAAAAGACATGAAGGAGACCTGAAATGGTTGTGTTTATTTTATTTAAGTTCATTATGCAGTCATCTCTAAATACTCCTAGGAAAAGTAGCAAGTGTTTAGTTTGTTTGGAACCTTTGTCAGTGCCTTCAGTTTTTAATTTAGAATACTAAATTTGGACTAAATAAATATCCTGTATTTTTCAAATCTATTAATTCTTTATGCATAGTGAGACTGGTTTGCTAATTAATAAATAATTCAACAGCTTTACTCCAAAGTACTAGAACTTGTTCTTTCCATTCATTTATGGTTTATCTCTTTTGAAGAGCCCAATGTAATGGCTTTTAGCTTTCATCTGCAATCTGAGACTGCTGTTTTGCAGAACTTCTGTTCCAATCTTGAGCATACTGATATCAGTAGGATTTTTTTCCATTGGCTTCACTGGAAAGCAAAGAGGAACCCTTCATCTTAGTTCTTTAATCACAGCAAGAACACTTAAACTTTGTGTTACTTGGTCACAGGCTTACTTTATTTTGTTGTTCTAGGACTTCTTGATGGAAACATTCATAATGTTCAAAGATCTCATTGGAAAGAATGTTTACCCTTCAGACTGGATGGCAATGAGCATGGTGCAGAACAGGTAAAACGGGGCTGGAGGATGAGTGCTCATGTTCCATGTGTTTGTGAAAAGTGACTTGTTTCACGGCTCACATAAAGTTTTGCTGTGTAGCCTAAGATGAATATATCATTCCATTTGGTGAATACCAAGGTCATAATCTGAAATAATTCACTGACAAGGCATTAAATAGCTAGCTGCTTCTGCTTTAAGTACACTTACAGCGGAAAGGCAAAACCAAATTATTTAACAGTAAAAAGGGAGTATATAGTTGGTCTCCATGTTGACAGTCAACAGAAACCAAACTGTAAAAGGCCTGTTGAATCTTAAATGTACAATTTCTGCACCTGGTCAGAATGTCTTCACTAATACGTCAGCAAGTTCATTGTGACACAAGAGTCATCAAACACAGATTTCTTTCTGAACTAATATGGTACTTGGATTGTTAAAAGGTCTGAGGATAAAGACTGAATATTTGAGCACGACACACTGTAGGAGGAGGTTGGATCCCTGGTGCTTGCTGAAGCTCACATCATTGAGGAAATGTGTTGCTAGACTATGAATTGTTTGGGGTTTCATCATGAGCAATTACTAAAACCTCAGGTATATTGCTTCTACAGATCAAGATAGCATCTAAGTAAAGTTTGTATAATCAAATCTATCATGTTCCCTATTGTTTGCTTTATGAGAGTTTGCTATTAATAAGACGTATCTGAGCACTCTTCTATTTTAAAGTAGACTGAAGGAAATACCTTGTGGACATAAACTGTGCAGATTATACAGCTTTGCCCACAGCTATGATATGTCTGCTTTGGTGTCACCATAAATGGTGGTGGGATGGAAAAGGTGTTGTTTGATCTCTGTTAAGTCACAGGATCTCTGTTGTCTCAGTGTTAAGATTGCAAGTGATGTAAGTGAAGTTTCATGTTACATAGATTTTGCTGCCACGACCTCTTTTCAATTTATCATTTCTATGTCATGGGATACTGAATTAGGTCAAAATGGGAAGTGATTTTTGTATGTCTCCAGACTGAGAATGGTTTCAGACAGCTGGGCCACCATTTCACAGATGGATTTCTTCAGTGTCTTTGAAATATTGCTTGTTTGAAGAGTAAAGGAAATGTTCTTCCCTTGAGGTGTGAGGTCGTTATTATGGGCTTCAGTTAGAAATGAATGGTTTTGACTGCAAGGAAAGGCTAGTACATAGGGTACAGGACAGGTTAGGTGAGGATTTATTTCCTAATAATTGTTCCTAGCCATTCTGAGGTACTGACTTTTCCTTTTTGTGTCTCTAGTATATAACAGAAGAAAGCAAGGGAGGCTTGGGCTGCGAGTATAAAACATATGGCTTCTCTAAACAAAGCTAGTTGGTTCAATGTATTTATTTGTGGAAATTGTGAGGAAGAGTTTCAAACATGGAGGTTTAACAGGCGCCTGTGTGTGCAGAAGAAATTGAACAGAAAAGTAGCCATGAACATGAGACCACTTTACCTTGTGGATTAATTTTTTTGATTTCCTGGGTTTCCTCCTCTTATATAATCATAGAATAGTTTGGGTTGGAAGGGACCAACCCGCCTGCAATGAGCAGGGACATCACCATGCAGATCAGGTTGCCCAGATCCACATCCAGCCTGGCCTTAAATATCTCCAGGGATGGCTCATCCACGCCTTCTCTGGGCAACCTGTGCCGGTGTTTTACCACCCTCATTGTAAATAATTTTTGCTCACATCCAGCCTGAATCTCTCTCTTTTAATTTAAACCATCACCCCTCGTCCTGTCCCAACAGCCACTGCTAAAAACTCTTTCTCCGTCTTTCTTATAGGCCTCTTTTAAGAACTGAATATGGGCAGGGACACGTTCTACTAAGCAGGTTGCTCCAGGACCTATCCAACCTGGCCTTGAAAGTCCATAGATGCTGTTTATTTGAAACGTCGCAGTTATGTAAATTCACTCTTCCAGTTTTATAGTATTGAAAAAGAGAGAACAGATGATGCTTAATAAAGCTGTTAATCTCCTGAGAGTATTTGGTCTCGAGGAAAATATTTGCTAAGAAAGGTTACAGCAGTACGATGTTAAATTTTGGTATTGGATACCTTTTTGTCTAGGGTTCAAATGGACTAATGTTACATGAAAAGGTTTTCTTTTTTGTGTTCCATGATTCAAAGTGAGAATTGTGTTTCTAGTGGGTACTGATGTGGCAGCGAGGCCTCAGGTGCCTAAACCTCACT